TCTACTCAGGTGTCGACATCACGACTCGCGCTCAGGCGCGTGTTAATGTTCCGGTACAACCTGACCTGGCTAATAGAATCATTGAATGGAAGCCCGTAATGGCAAGAGTGGCAATCTTCCTCCAACTAAACTTACAATAGGAAAAAGCGCTGACCTTGGTACAGGTCTATGCACTCAATTTAGAGGGTATGATATATGATACCTACCTTGAGGAAGTGCAGTGTGCTCTGTTCGAAATACCGAATACAGAGTACCTCACAATCATGGGCAATTTTGATGCGCATGTCAGAGACGACGATGAAAAGTAGAACGCCTTGATTGGAAAAAACGGCCTTAGCGACCTCAACAATAAGCGCATGAAGTTGTTGCAGATTTGTGCGAATAACGGATTGTCCATTTTGAATCGAGCATCCAAGAGTGCTTCAGTACACCTCTTACAAGGAAGCTTATGCACAGAAGTCGATGGTCGATTTGAAAATCGGATCGTCTAACTTAAGACGCTTAATAATGGATGCTCCCGTTAAGAAAGGCGCAGAGCTGTCCACCGACCATCGTTTTCTTGTCAGCATCATGCGCTTCAAACGACGAGGCACGAATGAAAAACCTGACAGCAGAAGCAACCAAAGAATCAAATGGGAAACACGGCCTTTCGCGAATAGAAATGAGAAATGCAAACAATATCGCACGGCAGTTTGAACAGATCCCTGTGATGACAACTGATGTGGAAACCGAGTGACAGCTCTTTAAAAGCAGCATGCTCGAGGCTGCCGCCGAATGCTGCAAATTCAAGTGGGTTGGCCTGCCGTCTGGAGGTCAAAAACGAACTTCCTGGTAGACACGAGAGGTCTAACTGACAGTTAAAGAGAAGAAGGCAACATCCAACAAATGGCTTGTTAACAAAGAGCCTTCAATTCGCATGCGGCATAAAGATTCGCGCAAGGTGGCAGCGAGAGCACTGGCAAAAGCCAAAGCTGATTGCTGGTAGAAGTTAGGTGAGGAGCTGGAGTCGAATTTCCAGGCGGCAAGGAATTCTAGAAGGCCATCCGCCACCTCCGAGATGGAAAGAAGGACGGTCTAAAAGTCTGGAAGGACAGGCCTGAACATCTCATATTGAAAATGAGGACATTCCTCAGCGAAGGAAAGAGTACTTTGAGAAACTCCTTAATCCCAAGCAAGCACAGGAGGACTCACCTTAAGAGGATCAGGGAACGGGTATTACTTCTTCAGTGGATGAAGTCACACAAGCTGTAAAATGCTTTAGTGACGAAGTTGTCGGAAGCTGTTACTAAGTGCTTAAGGCGTTATACGATTAAGGCGTGTTGATTCTTTCACGTGTCTGTCAAACTATAATGGCTACTGGGAGGACAGCAGTGAACCAAATAACGGGCATTGCGTAGCCCTATTCAGAGGATTATGAAAAGACTATAGGGAGGCTTCAATTATTGTGGCATTGCCTCATTCAGTCTACTGGCAAAAGTACTAAACAGGAGATGCCGCAGAACTGACTGTAAAATACAAGTGAGGCAGCGTGGCTTCCGGCTGAAGCACATCTCATTAGATGTTCGTCCTACGCTAAACTGTTGAGATATAAGAGCAGTTCGTTCATCCGGTTCACATTTGCTTTGTTCACGTAAAGAAGCTCATGTCCGAATGTACCAAATTATGGGCGTGCTTGCAAATATGTGCGATCAATGGTCAGTTGTTACGGCCATGCAGTCACTATACCTTCCTAACTGGTATTGCGTCAAACTAAACAGGATTAGTCGAAACCCTTCAACATTCGCACTGGTCCCCGCCAACGCTACATCCTGCTCCATATCCTGTTTGTGTTGTACATGGATAGAATGGTCAGGAGCTGCCAAGGCGACCAGGGTATCGGTGTAGGATATTTTAAGTCGAGAAGGTTGCTGTTTACGTTTGCTTTGCTGGCTCCTTCAGAAACTGATCTTTAGCTCTCTCTGGGAAAGTTCACCGTCGAGTGCGACGTGACCGGCATGCGTGTGAACGCATCTAAAACGAAAAACCTAGTGCTTTCTCGTTCTCCTGCCCGTTGCTCTCTTCAGATTAACCGAAAATCAGCTAAGCAGGTGGAGAAGTTAATGTACCTTTTGATTCGTGTAATGGGTGATGGAAAGTTTCAGGAAAAGATCATCCGTCGAATTGAAATGGTCAGTAGTCTTCTGCGCGAACTTGTCTGAACTGTTGTGACTAATACCGAGCTGAGTCTGAAGACTAAGTCTGTAGTCTGTGTTGAAGTCGATCATCAGGCCGATGCTCCATACGGCGATGAGTTGTGGTCCATGACTGAAAAACTTCCATCCCGAGTACAAGCGGTTACAGTGGGTTTTCTGCGATGAACCGCTGGGCTCGCTTGTCCCGACATGGTCGGGAATACAGACATTTGAGAAAGGCTTTCTGCACAGACCCTGCTTCTCCAGATTAAGGTATTATAATTGCTATGGTTTGGGTGCATCTTTCAAATGCTCTTAGAAAGAAAAGCAAAATAGCTAGTACAAGCCCAGCCGACAAGCCAAAGCCCACTGGGACGGTCAAGAATAACCTGAGGCACGTGTAGAAGAACTCATATCTAAACTCGGGTTACTGACTGTCGATACTCAAACTTTGTCTCAGGATCGAAAACACTGGACACATTATCTGACGCCACTTGAAATACTAATCGGTAATCGAAAATGGCTGAATGACATTACGATTTGAATCTTCCACCAACTGTTCGTTTCGTAAATGTTTGCTGGCGGCAAGTGCTTGGTTAGTTGTACACGAGTTCTGCTTTTCAGAAACATTTGATTGCATATAAAACGGTATCTGTGTTCACTCTTTATATAATAAGGCAGTTGGAAGATGGCTGATGATGCATTGCAAAAAAATATGCTGTTGAGATCACCAATTTGAGCCGTCTGCATAATCAGAACTTCTTCGGTTCATAATTTCCGTTTTATTTGTAGCCTTTCGATACTTTTGCTACAAAGGCAGAAAAAATGTTCCTCTCTGAAAGCCGATCTGTTACTGCCTTGTTCCTCTATTTTGCATTATTGCCTTCTGATGGATTTGTCCTCTGTTTCGGCTTTTACACAAAAGAGAAGGTCACGGGATGGAGTGAATAAAGTATGCTAAACCAATTTCTCTGACTAAGACAGCCGTGTCTTCTTAATCCTCACATGTACTGAGGTTATTTGTGCCCGGATAAAAATGGAGTCATTCCCTGCATGGATTTGCCATTTCATTCGCATTATGCGTCAAAGCCAACGGTCATGTACGCAATTTAACCGTCGTTCGTGTTATTTCATTAGAACAACTGTCTCATGCTGTACAACAACACCAACTTGGCAGTGGCAAGGCACAGGCGGATTTTCGTGAGGGAAGTAATTCATTTTTCAGCCCAAGAATCCAAAGGCACTCGATCCTCCTAAGCTAGTGCGATCCTCCTATCTAACTCTGGCTAGATAGTGCCACCGTTGAAGATGACGGAACCGGGATAGCTAAACTGATCCATTTCCAGAAGCGCTTCAGCTCCCTTTTCTACTTGTAGATCAATTTTGCCGGTGGATTCCTGATAACTTTTGGCGTAGTTAAGAGCCGACTTCGGCAGCAGTGCTGCATATGAAGGTCGACTGATAGACAGTGCTTTTTCCTCGTAATACGCGAAAATAATATTATCTTCGTGCCTTGGATCGAAAAGACACTAATCAGATATATTGAACTGGGCTTTCCCTCTGGATTGAGACTATCGTTTGTGCCGTAGCCAGCACTGGGTTAGGAAAGAAAGTCGAGGACAGTGTTAAACAGCAAAGGCGAAATTACATTTCTGTGGCGAACTCCATATTCAGTAGAGAACCGTTCAACTCCTTTTCAACTTTTACAGCAGACATGGTTCCTACATATATCTCTTCCGTATTAGAAACGATGTGCTAAGGCATTCCATGGCATTTAGAGATTTTTCACATCGTCTGACGATGTGGTAAACTTAAGAGCCAACTTCAAAGTCGAAGGTTCCAGCATATCACAAGAACCGGAGTCATCGGCATTGTTCAGCGTTTCTATGGAGAGTGAAAATGTAGTCGAGTCAAGGATTCTCCACTCAGAAGCCTGTTAGATTTTAGAAGAGTCTCATACTAGTCTTCCACAATCTTCACAAGATAATCCAGTATAAACATTTCGTGGGAAATGACGAGAGTGAATACCACAATAGTTGGAAAACTTGATCGTCCGACCCCCTTTACGTATAGGGGCAGTAACTCCGCACATCCATTCTCCTGAGAAACGTTCATAGGGTGATGGAACAGAGCATGAAGTTTTTTTGCCATTCTCGTTTCCCCATGCTTAATTAACGCCAGAGGAGTTCGATCCACCTCGCAGGCGTTCTTTACCCTCGGATGTAGCAAGCAGTTTTTTACGTTTCTAGTTTTGTTGGTGGATCTGTGTTAACCTCTAATGTTTGTCGGAAACAGTGAATCTGGAGGGCAGCCACTGAGTAGCTGCCAGAAATGCTCAACTCAACTTTTGAGGCGTTCGTTCTCACCTGCCAATGGAATACTCTTAGCGTCTTGGATAAAGAGAGCAAATTCCCCCTTACCGGACAACTGTCGCACCCCACTGAACACTGTGTGACACTCACCCTCGCTAGCAGCCTTGTCGATCTTCCTGATTTCCCCTCCAGCCAAAGTTCCATATCACGCTTGTTGCTTTGGTTGACTGCACGAACAAGTCGGCGATGAGCTGTCTTCGGAAGTGCAGCAGGGTTTTGCAAATATTTTCCATTTTTCTGATTCCATTGCACTCTAAGGGCTAGGGTCTTTTTCATACCCGAGTACTTGGGTATTCTCTTCGGGACCCCAACTACGCCTGTGGTCAAGGAAATGAAGACTTCGTTAAAAGTCTTTTCAGGCTTGGTCGACGTTGCCACCTCCTTAATGGGCATTAAAACAATATTAAATGAGCCCTCTACCTCTTTTCGATTGAGTGACCACGCCTCTTCGTCATATTTAGCCTGTCAACTTCGAACAGCTGACGTGTGTCAACAGATGACGTAGACGCGACACGGTGGCGATTAAACACTGTGCATTCACTACGCCTGACACATCTCGAATAACAAGCTGAGCCATTTGTGGACAATGAGGACGTGGTCGGCCGTTTGAGCGCTTGGGCTTCCGTCGGGGACGTCTAAGTGGTTTGGTGAACACACTTATGAGGCAAACGAGTCCCGCTGATCATTTAGCTGCTTGTATCGTAAAATCGTAATAGACTCATGCTATTGACATTCGCGGTGTCAATACCGTGATGGCCGAGTATGCATAAGCATGAGCTACCCGTACCTGGCCACCCTCGCGTTGAGGTCGCCTCTGGCGTGAAAAAACGCTGCGCTAACAGCCGACTGGAAGCACTCATAGGAGGCGTCTCTGTCGCTACCACTCGACACTTTTCTTGAGACACAGGCGACAATGACATTCAGCATCACCTGGCACTCGTGCGACAGAGTAGGATTCTCTCCAACATCTGTTCCACCACAATGATTGGCAGGCTGATCCGAGAGGACAAGAGGATACTCACGCCGACAGGAGTTACGACTACTCGTCCTGCATATGAGGCATCTGCTTGGGCAGGAGGCGAGCTTCTGTGACCGCGACTACTTCGAGTTTTTACGCACTGGCCACACGGCAGACAACATCTTATTTACCTGCCCCTCCCCCACCCTCATGAGATGGAACAAATGTTCCGACATCCAAGACGGAACTTACCTCCGGTTGTGTTGGCTGCTGGAATCAAGGATTTCTT